GAAGAACAGAGATACTACGAAGCACAGGGTACTGTTGAATATGCCAACAGCTGGCAATAGTATTCGTATGGGAAAGAAAGTGTCAAGTATATAGATGAAAAGATCAGAAACATTTGGCGATGGGGGGTTCTAGAAAATTGCCATCAATGATCAGCATGTCACTAAGTGAAATTTGATGTCAGTGACTAAAGTTGCAAATAAACGATCGGTGAGACTGTGGCTTTTTAATATATGATTAAATAGTAATGGCATCTGACAGATTTACGATTGCAGCATAAAGAAGAATGGACATAAAAAAACTAAGAACTGTTGCTAAATCCATCTAATACCTCATCTGTGGATCCAAAACGATTCTTCACTGACCGAAGCAATCGATGTGATGAGTACTTCTCACCCTGAAATTATCCGTCAGTGAAGTCCATCAGAAAGAAATTCAGTATAACACGGACTAATTACTTATTGTGCAATCAACCCCCTCCTTTCAAAATAGTTGTTGTAATAATTACTTCAAGAAGAAGAAGAAAGATGTCTAGTTCTACTCTTTCAGAGACACTGAGTTCCTAGAAGTCATCTAATGTATCTGAGAATTAAAAATCAAGCCTTCCACATTTTATATTTGAACAAATAGTATGATGATGAAGCCTTCAAAAAATAAGCAGAAACTTTAGGGTGCAGTATTTTGTGGAACGATAGATAGAGAAGAAAGGGGATAAGTGCTCTCGTTAGATGGGAAGGAGAAAAGGACATCCTCTAAAGTAGGAATATTGCATGCAATATCAATCAAAATGAACCCTGCATTTCTTTTTCATGATATCCAAAAAAGGAATCTAATCCAGTTATGAGAACATGAATTTTATAAATAACACACTTCATACAGTCATATTGAAAGACTCACATGGAGTATAGTAGAAACATCTATGTATCGTCTTATACCCTAGGCAGATCATATGGAGAAAAATAAACATCTATGAAGCACAGATACGTATAACATGACGCAACATGGACATGTTCAACAATTAAAATATGTGAATCATCAGCAAATAAGTCCAAAAAATATCTATAGGCAAATATGTTGCCAAATCAATGGACCCAGCAAACATCACTTTCCATCCTTACACCAGATATTTACTTGGTGTAAGATGAGCAGTGCTGTGTTCAAATCAAAAGGTGTGATCCATTGATATTGAAACATTAAACATTTTTTAGTGTGTCTCTTTTTATGCAAAACTAGAATTACATGATAATTCATTAATGTAAGTACATATAAGATGACACGACATCTCCAACAGTTTACAAAGATATCAACATCTGAAATATAAATTATTTCACACAATAAGATAAGTAGACTACAATCAACCAGAAAGGAGAAACAATAATTGCTCAAGAAAGAAAATTCAGTAAGGCACCAACTTCCATATATAGAACAACATCAACAATGTGCTCCAAGACACGAGGTCCAGCAATTTCTCCATCTTTAGTCACATGGCCAGTCTACAATAAGCAAGTAGCATGACCAAATTATTATTCAAGTTAAGTCTCAAGTAACAATGAAAATAAATTCACACAATGAAATGGCACACATTGGCCAATTTTCAGAACTTATACTAACCAAAAGTATCGGTATGTTTGTCTTCTTTGCAAATCGTAGTAAGGCCGAAGTGCATTCTTTCACCTATCATTAGTTAACTTACAATTAGGACATATTGATGCTCTTAATTAAATTATTGACAGGTGTGCATTTGAAATTGTTTGCATCATTGCCACAGGATTTATAACTTTCTGCTCTTGGACTAGACGAGCAAAATAAATGAAAGAATAAGTGGCCCAAGATGACATATTAACTAAAAGGAAAGAAAACAAACACAAATATGAACCAGACAATTGTTAGTGAAAATAGTTCACTTATAATCCAATAAAGACAAAATTACAACTATATAGATTCCTCCTGAATCCTGATAACATCAAAGAACGAATTAATATGGAACCATTGTTAAAATTATGAAAAAACTAGTCAGACTTTCCACAGTGGATGAAGTATTCAGAAATTTTAGAACCTGGACATGGCTCCCAGCATTTCCAGTCGCTTCTCTCAGATAGACCGTTTGAATGGAATCAATGACTACAGCCCGTGGGGAAAGAACCTGAGCCTGGTTTAGAATGTCCTGACAAGGAAGGCAGCAAGATGAAAAAAGAATATGCATAACTAGATTTCATGAGCCAATGTAGCGTAAATCCAAAAACTTGATTTGACTTGCAATAAGTATGTTGTTCAAAATTCCCCAGATTATGTATCTTTTTAGTTCCACCAATGTGTTGTCCTTATAAGGGTAGTTGCTACTCTAAATCTTACATAGAAATTTTGTTGAACTGAGAAGGCAAGTTACAAAAGCAAACATTTTGAAAAGTGTGTGTGTGTGTATATATGAAACTCGAAACCTTCAAGAACCAGATGGAGTTCTAAACCTTTCTTATAATATAAGGTAAGGTAAGGTAAGCTTGTTGACTCAAGAACGTATTCTCCTTCGGTCTTTGCCAAGAAAGAGTTTGGTTTTTATTTATACAAATATCGTGTTATGTCTTCCTATTTATATAATTAGAAAGCTAAGTGCCTATCATTCCAAGAAAGTGTCCGTTTGCGTCAAGAATAGAGGGATGCAGTTGCTTGTTCGTTTCGTTAGTCAAGATTTAGTTGGTGTTAAGTGTACGGGGTACAAGATTGAAAAGAATGCTAATGCAAAAGGCTGAGATTCTATAAGTAATTATATATATATATATATATATATATATATATTCTCTCACAGTGGCACTCATGTGAACTGAAGATACTTCTTTCTTTTGATGAACCCATTTGTCTCTCTTGCTCTATTGGCCCCTCATATGTGGTTCGTGTGACAGAGAACTTATATGTAACAACATCAAGCTCCCCCAACTTTTAATCATTCTTCTTGTTGTTCAACTTTATATTCATCAATCCAGTTATTTGAACACTAAAAGTCTAATAATGACAGATTCTTTTGTGTTCAGTATAAGCACTCTCGTATCAAGCTGAGCTTGGTGTTATGTTAAATAAGCTAAAAAAAAGAGCTGACATAGGGCAATCCTCTTTATAAATAGGATAGAAGTTAGTTATCATTATGGTAGGATTATGATAGAATCCCCTACTTCAACTAATATGTAACACTTTAATGGATGCTAAATGATATGTTAAGGACAAAGAAATAGCAATCAATTGTTGTAGTAGATGCTCAAGACCAAATTAACTGGTATGGGAATGCAGATTTGTAATTGAGAAAATAGTAACAAGATTATTGAATAACAAGGATAACAGCTCCAAACAATTCGAGAGGCTGGATCTCTCCTAATTGGCTCAACCAACTACTCAATATTTTGCATACCCCACATGAAACATTGCCCCCCTATTTATAGGTAACAACCTATACAATTTATGGCATTAATCCCCACACTACCCTTCCCCTGAATGAATGTGCTTCTCAATTACTCTAGATCCTTCTAAGGTACATAGACTTGATGGGAGTCTATCAGATTACTTATACAGTGATATTTATGTTTCCTTCATATTAGAGTTTTAGTTTTCTTTCCTTTTTGTACAATGTTTAATTTTCTTATATCGTTAGGTAGGGAACTATTTTACACTTAGTACACCTTTCAAAATAAAAAAATTCATTAAATAAAATTATTCTTTGCAAATTTTCGAGTTGGTTATTTTATTCTTGTTTCAATAATTGATAATTCCAATTCCGCTTCTTCTGTACCAAACTTGGTATGAGAGCAAGGTATTGCACTTCACTAATGGCCACCTATGGTGGCGGCATGCATCTTCGCGACAACAATCATAGGGTTTCAAAACTAAAAACATTGATCTAGATTCTGGAACGAAGGATGGATAGGTTTGAAGAAAATGCTCACAAAAATATGCAGATTTTGATTGTTATGAATGTTTATCGCTACAATGAGTTCAAAAATTGGCAACAAGTGGCTAGAGATTTTTCTCGAGTCCAAGCTAAGTTCAAATCCTAACAACGTTATGCACAAATTTTGAAAATAAATACTTCTCACTAATTAATTTTCTCTACTTCAACCAAATTCGAGGTCGAGTTAGTATTTTTTGTTTCCATTTCTAGGATTTTGATTTTCTTTCGCCTTTTTTTTTTTTTTTTTTTTTTTTTTTTT